AACTCGGTCAAAGCCTGCTGCTGGTACGCTATAAAGCCAGTTCCAAGAAACTTCACATAAAGCGCATAATTGCTCCCTTTGCCTTTAACCTGCACACCACTCACAAGGTAACTGGACAGTGCTGACATTTAGACGTTTTCTAATGAATTGGTAAATACCGCTGCCATCAAAAGCCATTGATACTCCACTGAAATCAGTCCCTTTTCCTGCAGACTTGAACTGAGGCGTCATTCCCCAAAATGACCGCCAGATGGCAGCAGAGACTGACAGTTGGAAACACACTGGTACTATTGGCTTCACAAAAAGGCTTTTTAGCGGTACAATGAACCTAAAACAGTAAAGTCAATCTAGGCGGAGCTGAGGAAATGAGCCCATAAACATCTCTGTAGGGCACGTACATAAAATGAGAGTGCTTGTATTTTACTTTACTTTCTTTGAACTCTTGGTGGAGAATTTTAAATAAATTTTACCTCCGTGTTGTTTAAGAAAGCTGCAACACCTGGCTGGCGTAGCTCACTGGATTGAGCATGGGCTGCGAACCAAACTGTCGCAGGTTCGATTCCCAGTCAGGGTATATGCCTCGGTTGCAGGCCATGACCCCCAGCAACCGCACATTGATTTCTCACTCTCTCTCTCTCTCTCTACCCCTCCCTTCCCTCTCTAAAAAATAAATAAATAAAATCTTTTTTTTTAAAGAAAGCTGCAACAAAGCAAATTACAATTTTCAAGCACACTTGGAAATTGTAGAAACCTGACTCTATCACACTACACAGCCAGATCCAAGAAATGTCACATAAAACACACTTATTGCTTTCCTGGCCATTAATCTGGAAACCTGTAACAAGGTAAATGGACAGCCCTGATACTTACTCGTTTTCAAATGCACTCATAAAAACCTCTGCCATCAAAAGTCATTTATATTCCATTGGTATCAACTGCTTTCACTGCTGACCTGCACTAAGTCATCATTCCCCAAAATTGCCACAAGATGGCAGCACAGACCGACACTTGGAACACATGGAACCACTTACTGGCTTGGCAGAGAAGTTAATTCAGTTTTTACCATCAGGTGCCATGACAGGCACACTTCTCCTTTTCCCCCCAAAACGTGACTGAACAACGACTGGACAATGTACTCACAGCTTTGTTCCACTGGCCCCTGCCACCTTTCAGGCAACTTCACCATTCATTCCATCCTCCCACAACATTGTTCTATTTCGAAGCAGAGAACTCTTCCAGGTGCCTTCTGCAGTCTTCCAGGGAATGGAATTCTCTCTCCACTAAGAGAAATTTGGAAAGACTGAAATAAATGGTCATGCACCTTCTGAGTCTTCTGCTGACAAATTCTGAACACTTTCCCACAGGTGGCTTTCAGTTGCTCTGATGGGAGTAACCCACTAGGTTTCTGCAAGGAGCTCCCGCTGCACAACACCCTCGGGAATCCACCACATACACAACATCACCTCCTTTGGGTGAAGACCACCCTTTGGAGGGGCTGCGGGTGGTGGTTCCTTTCTTACCCCTCAACTCTCCCATTCCACGTTATTCTAACATATCAACAGTGCATCACCCCTCAAAATTTGTCTTGGAAGCAGAATGTTTTCCTTAGGTTTCGGTGGAGAACGGCTTGTAGAAATTCAGTCAAAAGGGGCCCCCCAGCAGCCCATTTCACTTCTGTGGAAGACAGCATCAAAGTGATGAACGTCACCGTGCTGGTGCAAAGAATTCTCGATGCTTGATCTGGATCCATTCAGTAGGTCACCTGTCTCCCACGTGCCATTACGTGGTCTGTCCTCAGTGAATGTCTCCCCTCCATGGCTCTCCGCTGCCACAGGTCTGCCTACCGGAACAGCAACTGCGTGTGAGAAATCTCCATCATGAAACTTCACAATCCACTTTGGACACATTCCATCACTCACAGCAACATCTCCACACACACCACAAACCTTTTGTTGCCCTGCAGTTGTGCTTGTACCTTTCTTGAAGTGACAAAGCCAAAGGGGCTGAGAATGTTGCTTATGTTCATGCATCTTCAGTGGGAAAAGGGCCACACACACATTCACCACTTGTGATGAGATTTCTTATCTCCCAAAACCTCTAAGACACAGGGAGTAAGGTAAGAGGGTCGACAAGCTCTTGCTAGAAAGTCTTACTGTCTAAAGCTGAGGTGATTGTGCTGAAGCTCTCTTCCTAAACCCAGTTTTGGAAACTAAATCTCTCAGGAATAAATGAGATGTCAATCCTGAGTAATTTCCCAGTCTCCCCTTTCTTAACAGCCTGTTTAAAATCAACGTGCCAAGTATAAAATGTTGGCCCTCTTCATTACCGCCTCTGACACTTTACATAAAAGTTTTATAGCAACAAGCTACATTAGTACCTTGTTCCATACTTCATTGACATAATCCTTCAGTTTTGAGAATAAGTTACTTCAGTTAAATTGTTAAATCTTACTTAAGTAAATGGTTACGAACATGTACTCCACAGATTCACCTGCTATTAAATATGTGACTGTTTGCTTAAGCGGTGGAGAAATGATCCTTCCTCTAGCCTTAAGAATCTTTGGGCTGGTCTAATAATCCAACAGGTATAAAACAGATTAGCAAATGAAACAACCTATTTCGGGACATGCACAGGCATGGGAACCTCACTCGCATGAGAGAGTCAGGAACCCCACGTGCAGAACAGCATTAGACATAGAACGGAAACGTGGGCACATACAATGTACTGAGGCTGTGATGGCGCGAGGCTCAGAGGGGCTTCAAAGTGACCTTGCAAAATGATGCGAGCAGATGCTATGAAAAAGGTGCTGTTCCCAATATGTCCACAAGGCGGCGACAAAACCATTTCCTGCTGGCCTCAACTCAGATGCTATCCCAAAAATGCTCGCTAGATGGCGGTGTGTATTAGAGTGTAAAAAAGGGGTCCTGACAAGTCAGTCCTGGGTCCTCTGACTGCTGGGAGAAGTACTTTTTCCTAAGAGAGGATGGAGCCCCATAACATGAGCTCTGGGTCCTCACCAGAGAGCATAAGAGGTCGTGTCAAGTCAGCTCTGGGTCCTATAAGCAAGGAGAGGGGTCCCACCTGAGAGTGTAAGGGTCCTGTGACCTCAGGCCTGGGCCACTTGAGTGTGGAGAGGACTACAGGAGAGATGGGAGTGTCCTGTCACTGCACACCTGTGTCCTGTGAGGGTTGAGAAAGGCCCCTCCCTGTGAAATGCAAGTGTCCTGACCCTTCACCTGTGATCCCAGTGATTGTGGGGAGGGGTCTGACTTGAGAGAGCAGGGGTCCTGTCACTTCAGCTGTGGGTCCTGGGAGCCTGAAGACAGCCCCCCTCCAAGAGCACAGGGCTCGGCCACATCAGCCCTGTGACTTCGGGGGAACATCCCCGCCTGTGGGTGTGACGGGTCCTGTCCCATCGCCTGTGCGCTGTGGGTGCGGGAACAGGGGCTTTGCAGAGAGAGCTGGGGGTGTTGTCACTTCAGCCCTGGGTCCCAGAATTGCAGGAAGAAAACCTCGCCAGGAAGAGGAAGCTGTGGTTCCCAGTCAGCACTGGCTGCTGTGAGCAGGAGGAGAGGCCCCACCCGAGAGGACACCTGGTCTTCTGACATCAGCCAGGGTCCCAGAGAGTGTGTGGGGGTCCAACATGGGATAGTCTGGGGTGCTGTCTCATCACCTTGGGGTCCTGTGAATGTGGGGTGGGCCCCTCACTGAGAAAGTAGGGGGCCCTGCCATCTGAACTCTGGGTCCTGAGTGTGTGGGAAGGTGCCTCTCCCAGCAAGGAGTGGGGTCCTTTCACAGTGAAGAGGGTCCCGACCTGGGAAAGACAGGCATCCTGCCTGACAGCCGAGACCCATGGACACGGGAAGGGCTCCCACCTGACAGAGTAGGGAGCCCATCACACAGGCTCTGTCCCTGTGTGTCTGGAAACCTGTCCCACCGGGGAGAAGAGTGGTTCCCGTCCCCTTGGCTCTGGGGCCCCCCGGTGTGTGCAGGGTCCCTCCCAGGGAGCGCAGGGGGTCCTGTCACATCGGCTCTGGGTGCTGTGACATGGGGGCCGGGTCACACTGGAGACAGTAGAGGGCACGGCAGCTGCAGCTTTTGCTCCTGTGGCTGTAAGAAGGTGTCGGTCCTACCAGAGAGTGAGGAGCCGTGTTGCCTCAGCACAGGGTCTTATCGGTACGGCCAGGGGTCCCTCCTAGGAGAACAGCAAGGCCTGTGACACGAGGTCTGGGCCCTGTGCATGACTGGGGAGCCCACCTGGGAGAGCGGGGTCCTGTGGTCACAGCTCTGCATCGTCCGAGTGCTGGAGGGGTCTCATCAGAGAGAACAGGGGTGGTGCCACATCCCCTCCAGTTAAGGGGGTTCAGGGAGCGTGGGGCGGGGTTTCACCCAGAGAGAGCAGTGGTCCCGTGACATCAGCTCGGGGCCTATGAGTATGCAAAGGGGCCCGGCTGCCAGAGTAAGGGGTCGAGTCACTTCAGCTCTGGGTTCTGTGGTTATGGACAGGGGTCCCTCTCTGGGAGAACAGGGGTCTTGTCACATTAGTTTGGGGAAAGGTCCCCCCAGCGGCAGTAGTGGGCCCTGTCATGTGAGCTTTGGGTCCAACCACGATGGGCATGTAACACCTGCTGAGCTGGGGATGGTGTGAGGTGCCCTGGAGATTCCAAGCGTCCTCGCAAAACGGTCGGAGCAGCTGCTGAGTAAATAGGTGCCATCCCCAGGATGTGCACTAGATGGCAGCAGAGCGGAGCATTTCCAGGCAGTGGACGTCTGAGAGCCAGCAGGCCCACTCTGCCAGCACAGAGGGACCTGTCCCATCAGCTCTGGGTCCTCTGAGGGTGAGGAGGGGTCTCACCCGAGAGAATATGGAGCCCTGACACCACCTCGTATCTGAGCCCTGTGATTGGGGGAGGGGCTCCCCCTGAGAGAGCAGGGGTCCTGTCACATCGGTTCATGGGACTGTGTAGAGGGGATAAGCCTGAGAGATTGGGGGTGCCGGGATGTCAGCGCTGAGTCCTGTGAGTGAGAGTGGGGGATCCAGTTACTGCTGCTCTGAGTCCTGTTAAAGAAGAAGAAAAACAAGAGCAGGGTGCACCTGCAGGGAGAAAATAACAACGACCATTCATCAGTGCCCTGTAGCCATAACAGCACTGTAACAAAAGGGCCCACTCCCACCCTCTGTCCCGAATAGAAAGCCTGGGCACTCACACACAGGCATGACTCTGGTCCTGATCCCCACAGTTACTGCCCTCGAGACGGCTGAGTAAATCTTATTCTCATTTAAAAAAGAAGACAGAATCAATTTGACTCAAAGATTCCGCAAATCTAATCTGTATAAACATATGAAGTATAAGATGTGGTCCACAACTGCTGCTCATCTTAGTCTACATAGAACCACATGCAGGGTAGGGCAGCAGTAGGTTTGTATGGGAAATTGTACAATGATTAATAAATAATGCAAGAATAAACTCTCTGTTTTGAACACTCACAACTGTAAACCTACATTTTCCCCACCCTGTATGTTCATGACAGTTCATTTCATCACTTAATAAACATTGACTAATTATTGTGGGCAGATCATTCTACATAGTTCTTGTATGTTCTATTGATAATACAAAGTCCAAATTCTTTGTCAGGAGCCAACTGGCCAACCTGAATAAATTAGCATTAAGAAGTTGGGGTCCCTTTCACCCCAAGGAAGGACGTTGTTATTCAGAAGAATGTAACTACCATGTTTTCCAGGGCCTTGGCAAAACCCCGGATGTGTGGCCTTCAGGCCAGCCATCTCTGATTTCATGTTGCTGGAGCCATCCTTGTTTGACTCTGGGGGGTGCATCTTTCTATAAGTTTGCTGTGGCTGAACCGATAAAACAGGTGTATGCAGATTTCTGCAGAAGTTATGATTGCATGAAAGATCTTGAGATGAGGAAGGCTGGTGTCTTCCTGAGTGCACCGTGGTCTTCGAATGTAAAGAACTTCTGTGGGTTGACTTCCATGGAAGTAAGTCGCATTGCACTTCCACGGTTTCTCTCTGGCTGAGTTGCTGGGAAGTCAGTGTCTGCTGGGAGGCACCAGTACATCTTCCTGGGGGGGGCCTGTGGTTGACACTTTTTCCTGTAATTGACCCAGGGTGGTGCTACGTGAGAGCACTCCCTCTCACCCGCCAACTCCACTTTGGTGAGGTTCTCCTTTATGCAATTTCACAGTAATAATTACGGTTAGTTGGCTTATTTCTGACCCATGGAAATGAAGTTATCTTTCTGTGCTCAAAATGAGGTGAGGGCCCGAAACCCTATTTCCGTTTTTTCCTGTGAAAGCCAGTGGCAGCTACACTGACCCTGGACCCCCGTCCTCAGATTAGGTGCCTTATATTTGTGCAAAATACTTGTAGGTTTTCTCAGGGTGTTTTGTTTGTTTTCATTTCTGTTTGCTTATATCTTGTCTTCTTACTTCTGAAGCCTTTGTAGACCTGACAAAGCTACTTCAACAAACCTATTCCTCGTATCACCACTTCTCCCCATGGCTTTTCTGGTATACTTATTACTCCATGTGTTCAGTCTTTCAGCCCTCTGGGACTTCTTTTGTGTCTGGGAATTGCGTGGTCAGGATTTACTGACAAGTTTCCCAGAATGCAGTGCAGTCTTGACCGCGTCCTCACTGATTACACAGCTCTTACTGAAAGTGGGTTTGAGAAGGGGGGGCACAGACGGGCCTAGACGAAAGTCGGGGGTCCCGACCACAGTATGGGGGAACAAAGACACTTTGTCAGGTGGCAGGAGGGCCACATCCACCCTGAAGACCTGCCCGGGCCCGAGGTTCCCATGTCCTGCGGGAGGGTCCCTCACCAGCGGCTGGAAAACTAGCCACGGAAACCACCAAGCCGCGGTCCTCGCTGCAGGCTGCGTGACAGGCACTCGCAGGAACCAGAGCAGCCAATCCCCGCGGGATGGGGCGGGCCTGGGAAATCGAGACTGCCAGACAGGCTCCACCCCCCCATCCCGCCCTTTCAGATTCTTCTGACCGCCAATTGGCGAGCAGACCCTGCGATCTCAGCACTGATTGGCTGCTTGTGCCCGCTGCACTACATTGGCTGGAGCCTCGCCCCCCGTGCGTCACACCTCCTGAGGGCGGGAAGACAGAAGCTGAGAAGCCAAGGCCAGGGTGGGCAGCGAGGCAGGGGATCCGGCAGACTGACAGGAAAACGGGGACCTTGCCACGTGGAACCCTTAGCCCACGGCCTCCAAAGTCCAGCCTATGAGAGCCTAGGTGCCCTCATCCTCAGAGGCTGGGGGCGGGGGCCCAAGTCCGCTAACCCGCGGGACCCCAGACCTCCTCGCCCGGACATACTCTAACTCCCCCGACGCTCAGACCCCCGAACAGCCCGACAGCCCCAGCTCCCCTCAGCCCGGGCACCCGGCCGGCAGCGCGCCCACAGGGACCGAATCTCCCCAAACTCAGAGACGCCGTCGTCGGGGACGCGGGGTCGGGAGAGCCTACGGCGAGCGGCCCCCGGTCTCCTCAGCCTCGGAGGCCCGGCGGCCTCCCCCGCCGCCAGCACCGCGCGCGCTCGGCCTGGAAGCCCCGGGTCTGGTCCTGAGGGCCCCCGAAGCCCCGGGCGCCCGACGGACGGCCGTCTCCTGGGGACCGCGCCTCGGCCGCGCGGACTCCCCAGGGCTCGGGGCGGCCCCGCGCCCCTTCCCCAGAAAGCCGCCTTCCCGGTCGGGCGCCTCGGGCCGCGCGCCTCCTCCTGAGGCGGCCCCGGAGGGAAGGGCCGACAGTGCGCCGCCGCGGGCGGCTCTGCGTGGCCCGTCCACTGCCCTCGTCCCGCTGGGCCCCCACGTCCCCGCTCCGGGCGCCCTGCCAGCCGCGGGGGGGAGAGGCGTGCGGCCCTCCCAGCGCCCTCTCCCTCCACAGGCGCCACCGACTCGGGGAGGGACGCCATGAGCCCCGACCGCGAGCCGCAGGAGCGCCCCGAGGGGGACGCGGCGCGACCGGGCCGGGCGGCGCAGGTGAGCGGCGGGGCGGCGGCCAGCGCGGACCCGGCTGCCGCGGGGCGGCGTCGCGGGCCGGCGAGAGGCGGAGGGCGCCCCCGGGCGGAGGCGGCCGGCCGCAGCCCCACGCCGTCTCCCGCCCTTGCAGGCCGACGACGACGCCTTCAAGGACATCGCCGCCTACTTCTCCCGGGCGGACTGGGCGGCGATGGGCGCCTGGGAGAAGGGCCGGTACCGGAACGTGAAGAGCAACTACGAAGTGCTGCTCGGCCTCGGTAACGGCGGCCGGCTGCCCGCGGCGCCCCGTGCGGCCCGCCCCCGGCGCTGCGCTCTCCGGGCCAAGGCTCCGTCTCTCCGCAGGTCTCCGGGCCCCGCGGCCGGCCTTCATGCGCCGCCGCGGGCGGGCGGCCGCGCCCCGGGCGGCGTCCAGCGACGACTCGGACGAGGAGTGGACGCCCAGGCAGCGAGGTGAGGGCCGTGGCGGGCCGCCGAGGGCGTCCGTGGGAAGTCCTCAGACGAGCACGTGGTCGCGTGTGTTCGCGCGCGCACCGGCGAGCGGCCACGGACGCGAGCGAGGCCCGACGGACTCGCCCCGAGGAGGGGGAGGGGCGCGCGGGCCGGCCGCGCAGCGTGGGGGGGGCGCCGTTCGTTCCCCGGTGCCCGCGGGCGCTGGGCTCTCCGGCGGGGGCGGCGTCCAACCCGGCGCGCGGTCCGCGGCGCGGTCGTGGCGGGAAGTCCTCCCGAGACTGCGTGCGCGACCGAGCCCGACGACGCCCACGGCCGTGGGGGGAGACGCCAGGCGGCCACGGTGCCGCCCGAATGAAGGAGACAGGACGGAGGACGGTCAGGACGGTCGTGTGACGTCGTACACGGCGCCCCTGCACGGTCGCAGGACCTTTGTTATATTTTTGTCCTGAAAGGCCAGTTTATTTTTTAAGTAAGGAAGGCTTTTTAAAGTTTTATTGGTTTTTAGGGAGGGAGGAAGAGAAGCATCAGTGTGTGGTTGCCTCTCTCGCGCCCCCTGCTGGGGACCCGGCCGCAACCCAGGCATGTGCCCCGACTGGGAATCGAACCAGCGACCCTGTGGTTCACAGCCCGCACCAGCCAGGCTAATTTATTTTTTAATATATATAATAAATACTTTATGAATGTAGGATTAAGCACATAGGATGCTTTGTCTAGTTTTTTTTTAAAGCATTTTAAGAATATTACTTGGTGCCCCGAATAGAAGCTTAAGCCTTAATGATGGCTCAGAAGACATTTCCATCATCCTTGGATCGCCCTTGGCCTACCCTCTGATTCGGAATTCTGGGTACCTAATGAGAACCTCCAGATTCTGGAAACATTTACCAACCAAAACACTGATTTCTCATCATCCTTTAGTCAAACCTTCTTGGGTGGCCTTCAGAGGGGAGCAGAGTAAACACCACAAGGTGAGTATTTCCCAACCCTGTTGACAGGAAGAACTTCCCCGTGGATACAGATGCAGGTAAGAGCAGTAGAACGCAGAGAGTTTCAGAGACATAGAAGTGTTTGATCCTGTGTATTAGAGGCAGTGCAATGTAATCTGTAGCTCCTTCTCTAAACCACTTACTCAGTAAAACTGTCATAGTTTTATAGACTTTACACTGTCTCTTCTATGTATCATTACACCACTCATCTGACTCATGATTCCATCCGAAATTCTTTCCCGCTACGCTGAAGCGAGAGATGTAGCCAGACCCCGCAGAGGTGTCCAGCCTTTGGGCGTCTCTGGGCCACACTGGAAGAAGGGTTGTCTCGGGCCACACATTAAATACATTGCAACATGTAATCACAAAATAATCACAAATGTTTTAAGTAGATGTACAAAGTTGTGCTGGGCCACACTCGCAGCCATCCTGGGCTGCATGCAGCCTGCGGACCACAGTCTGGACACCCCTGCAAGGGAAGCGTCTGGTGTGCAGGCAGTTTGTACAGTGGAAAGTGCCACATAAAGAAGGGTATAGGCTCCGCAGCACCAGAGCCTCCCACTCTAAGAAAGCATCTCCCAGCCCTCAGGAGCTTCAGGTTTGATGATTGAGAAACAAGTGATAAAATGGCTTAAGGACTGCATATAGGTTACACACTATTCAATAGAAACTCATCCATCCGCAACCGATTTCAAATGCCCATCCCTGTAGGAGGAAGTAACAGCTTCTTTCTCTGAGTGCTAATGAGGCCACTCTCACCCTGTTTGGAATAATTTGTTTAGCTGACCGCCTACCTCTGTGTGAGCTCTTTCCGAGGCTGGTCCATACTGCATTCTTCTCAGAAGTCTCATGGCCCCAAGAGCCCCTGAACATTTGCTGAATAAATGATTTCACAATTGCAAATTAAACTAGAATGGGCCAATGAACACTGAAGATAATTTCTGTGAGATATCAAATATGAAGACAGATGAAGGTAACATTGATGGCAGGACTGTAATCTCACATCCATACTGTATTACGCAGCTCACAGAACACTTTATATTGCTATACACAGTGAACATCGTTGTATCTCATGGTCACTGTAACAATAAAAATGAGCATGTTGTAGATCAGGAAACTGAAGAGAACTAGCTAGTGGTACAACTTCATTCAAACAAAATTGGTGGGAACGAGCTAATCTGATTACAAATATTCTTTCCAAGATACAGCAGTTTGTGAATTTTAGCATCATTTTCTTTATTATCTAGATATGTTTCTGCCAACTATTTCTTTATTCTCTTCCACACATGCCTCACTCTCACTATCATAGAGAAAGTTTAAAAGAAAGAGCCTAAGGCATGGGTTCTAGTCTTGAATTCAATACCCATATAGGCCCTTCCTTATCATTCTAATATTCATACTCCCCAGATATTTCCAAGGGCTGCTGAAGTATTAATTACACTCATGCATATGAGAATATATCATAAGCTCTTAAGAATTAAATAAATGCATGTTACCTTTTAATACATGACCCTCACATTGAAGGCAATGTCCAGACCATCATTAAGCAATGAATCTAGTTTGAAGGAATTGTCCAGAACAGCGAATTTGCTGACTGCAAGTGACTCAGAGCAGGCCCAGAAACCACTGTCCCCTCCTGCAGAAGCAAGTGCCTCTGGAGAGCACATTAGAGAAAAGTCAGGTAAGAGAAAATAATTCAGAAATGTTAGCTCCTATAAGTCCTACAAAAGGGCTGATAAATATGTCCTAGGTCTGTGGGGTGGACTTTGGATGGGCCTGCATTTAAGATGGGCTAAGCTGAGACTGAAGTTAGCAATGGGGCTTTGGGCAAATCCTATACATTCTCTGAGCTCCTGCATGCTAATGTATAAAGTGAAGATAAGGAAACATCACTCATATATTGTTTGAAAACATTAAATTACATTTAAAACAATTGACACATGCAAATTGTTCAATAAATCCATCTGTGATAATAGCAACCACACTTTATTGGTGTTGTGTGCCCAGGCCTTTCCTCAATGCCTAACACATAATGTGCACTCCATAAATAATTTATGAATGAGTGAATGTTGGGAAGTTAAACCTGATCCTGGGAAGATCTAGAAACTAATATTGAATCAGTCATCTGTAGTCAGTGTGGACTCTTAGTCTCTCTGAACCAATAGGTAGGAAACCTTCTAAATACCAGAGTATGTAGAAGGGACAGGTGATAATTTGATGGGAGGAGATTGACTGTTTTCTGACAAAACGGGAACTAACACTCCAGACCCCACCAACCTTGCACTTCTCCAACTTAGAATCCAGGAGAAAGGAGATGGATGTGAAGATGTACAGCCTACGAGAAAGAAAGGGCCATATGTACCAAGAGGTCAGCGAGCCCCAGGATGATGACTACCTTTGTAAGTGACCCTCATTTAGTAGCATGTTATGATACAATAATTGCATCTAGCCAGTTAGTCCCTACATCATTCCCTCCCTCCACTAACCAGGACTGCAGGGTTGGGGCTCAGTGATGTGAGGGCCTAGGCTCTCCCTCTGAAACTCTTTGTGTCCAGGTACAAGCACTATACCTTCCCTAACCCCTGTTGCTCTCGTCTCCAGATTGTGAGAAGTGTCAGAACTTCTTCATCAACAGCTGTGCTGTGCATGGGCCCCCTACATTTGTAATGGACAGTGTAGTAGACAAGGGGCATCCCCACCGCTCAGCCCTCACCCTGCCCCCTGGGTTGAGAATTGGGCCATCGGGCATCCCTGAGGCTGGGCTTGGAGTGTGGAATGAGGCAGCAGACTTGCCAGTGGGTCTGCACTTTGGCCCTTATGAAGGACACATCACAGAAGATGAAGAGGCAGCCAATGGCGGCTACTCCTGGCTGGTGAGAACTATTTACCTCTTCCCCTGTCCTCTGGCTTCCCACACCCTCCCTGTGGCCTGGAGGGACCTCACCTTTTACATGCTAGACATGGAGGGGACAATATGGTTAGCTCTGTGTACTGACTGGACTTTACATGAACACAGAGCTCCTGTTTAAGGATCAGAAGGTGAGCGGGAGCAAAGTGGTACAGACACAAAGGAGTGGCTCCTCCCTTGTGGGGCTCCCACTCTGATTGGACAGGTAGACTCGGATACGTAGATGATGAGAAAGAAAAATATCATGTGGCAACAACTGACAGTTAAATCCCCGTGCAGGCTGGAAGAGCTTTGATGACAGTAGGGTAAAATAATTCTTCTGACTATTACCTCCCCACCAAAAAAATAAAAGGTCTTTAACTTCTTTTCTGAAACTCAGATCACCAAAGGGAGAAACTGCTATGAGTATGTGGATGGAAAGGACAAATCCTGGGCCAACTGGATGAGGTGAGGTCGACCGGTCACTGGGTGCCAGAGGGGACACTCCTCTTCCTTGTCATCGCACCACCCCAGTGGTCTCCCTTAACCCTTTGTTCCTCTTTTTCTCCACACAGTGTTCTTTCATATCAAGAGACATTTAGAAAAAAAAGGAGATAGAAATATAGCATATGTTCTTGAAAACATAAAGAGTTTCTATAGAAAATTCTATAAAATTTTTGATACTAGACAAAATTTGGGCCCTAGGGCAGAAAAACCTAGAAAGACCTAGATTCTCCTGGGATCCTGGATTGTACTTTAATTTATCTAATCAACATTAATTAAGCACATATTATGTTCCAGATTAGACAAAGGAATTTATTACTTAAAGAGATCAGGCAACCCATGTCCTTATGAAAGACTTATTGCAGACACACATGAAACAATTGCTATCAGAAATATTTAACTGTAATTTTCCTATTTTTTGAGATGAACATGGTGTCAGGAGAGCACAAACCAAGGATGGCCTACAGCTATGAGGTCTGCAAATCATCCCAGCCTCACTTCAAACTAGAGCTGGGCTCTGAGGCCTGCAGAGGAATGGTCATGGGCCCCTTTTCTGCGAGAGGCTCTTTCATCAAGGGAAACAGAACGTGAATCAACTGTTACTGTTCTGTGTTATTTTGCTAAGACAAAGAGACCTCCAACTTTCTATGGGAACCTTGGGAAGACAAGTGAATGGTACCCCAAGTTAAGTGTGGGGAGCCTGGAGAAAGACCTCTCAAGAGAAGATGGGCTTAGCCTGACTATCGAATGACGTGAGCTAATCTAGAAACTGAGTCTAGATCAAGCACCAGATTCTGGGGTGTCAAACAGAACTTGACTTAGTGTTTAGAGAACCCAGAGCTCACTGGATATTATGGCCAATCAGGGTAGAGGTTAAGTCTAGAACTGGGTTTTTAGAAAATGGTGTTAGGCAGCATTAGCACTGCAAGCAGGACTTGGAGGTAGGCATTCACATGACATGGTGACGGACGCTCAGACAGTGAACAGAGGTTCCCTGGGAGCATTAGGACAGTGGGCAATACCAGAGCCTAATGGGCCTTAAGAATCAGTGAGGAGCTGGACATGGATGTAACAGGTAGTGGGAACTCATCACTGTGGTTTTCTTTCCCTTCCTCTGCCTCAATCCCAGGTATGTGAACTGTGCCCGGGATGATGAAGAGCAGAACCTGGTGGCCTTTCAATACCAAAGGCAGATTTTCTACCGAACCTGCCGGGTCGTCAGGCCGGGCTGTGAGCTGCTGGTCTGGTACGGGGACGAGTATGGCCAGGAGCTGGGCATCAAGTGGGGCAGCAAGTGGAAGAGAGAGATCGCATCCGGGAGAGGTGGGCACTACTGTTCTTCCTCAAAACAAAAAGAAAAGAAAAACTTTCCTTAGAAATGTTCATGGTCATGGTCCAACTCTGAAGTTGAGTAAAATCCCCTCTAAAGTCAGTAAATGTTCATATCAGATGTTTTAGAAATTAAGGATTCATTTCATATGCCTTTGACTCTTAAAAGAATTTTTATATTTTTAATTTCTGTGCAAATTTTTAAAATTCTTCATGCACTAAATACACAATAGGATATAGTACTGAAAGGCTTAGAGGCCACAAAAACCCCTCAAGTTTTTGAAGAGATTTGAATTACTTACTTTTAGAGAGAGGGAAGGGGAAGGAGAGGGAGAGAAACATCAATGTGCAAGAGAGACATCGATCAGTTGCCTCTCGTATGTGCCCTGGTCCAGCTGGGGACTAAACACTCAACCCAGCCCTGTGCCCTGACCAGGAATTGAACCCATGACCTTTTGCGTTGTGGGACAACACCCAACCCACTGAGCCACCCTGGTCACAGCAAAAAACAAGTTTTTGGGAACTGACCAGCTCTCTCAACAAAGCAGGTTTTTCTGGACTTTTTATAGTTGTTCCTTCTTAATTTCCTCTAATTTCTAAATGAAACATGTTAATATGCATTCATTCGTGATTTCAGTTAGTTGCCCTGTGAGTCCCTACCTGTGCCACACAGGGCTCTGGGATCTGGAAATGCAGATTAACGCCCTGGTCAGCACCACTGCTCTCGAGCCGCTGACAGGTGAAGGAGGGAAACCCAGGGGTACATGCGTGCACGTGCGCAATATCACACAGCGGTTAGTGCTCCAGAGAAAACGAACCCAGGACAAGTGCCTTGGGATCTGTGTGAGGGGAGGGTGCAGTGTGGCAGGTGGTCAGGGAGAAGCTCTCTCCAGAGAAAACATTTTAAAAAGTACCTGCGGGCAAAGGATCTCAGACAGAGGGAGTAGCTAGAGCGGGGAGGTGGGCGGGGGGCCGTTGATCGGTCTGAGGGCCACTGTGGCCTTGAGCTGGACACAGAGTAAAAGCGGAGGTGGGTGGGTGCTGAGCATCTGGCGATGCAGCGCCGAGCCAGTGGGGACCTTGTTCAGTGAGACGGGACGGCCATGCGGCCTCCAGCGGCAGAGTGCGCCTGAGAGAGTGATGGGGGAAGAGACCGGCAGAGGCCAGAAAGTGCATCTCTTCTGGGATGCCGCTTTGGTAGACTTTGGAAGATAAACCCCAGTGGGGAACCCTCAGGGATGACTTCATCCCTACGAGGGAGAGGGTGGCGGACTGGCAGGAGTGGTGTGGGAGTCGGGCGTGTGAGAAGTGTGGTGGGAGAGACGCTTACCAACAGGACATCCTAGTGTATCTGAAACGGGCTAACAAGGAATGAAACTGCTAGGTGTGAACCTCGGCGTGAGGCGGAGGAAGGACGCACCTCCACTTTGTGACTGTGGAACACTGAGGGAGAAGCAGTTCCTAGCTGGGGCCTGTGGTTTCCCTCTTGAACACGACACGTGACGTGTGTGGGAAGGTCGCTGCGGCTCCATCCGCTCAGGGACTGAACCGGCCCCTGGAGCTACTCGGGAGTCCCTAGTGTGCACAGTGTTAGGAAAGACCCTTGATGTGGGCTTTCTGGGTGTCTGAAGAAGGTGCACTGCGTAAAAATGAGGAGGAAGATAGACTGCGAGTGGACACGTTGTGGGAGACGGAGCTTGCGTTGTCACCGCAGTAAGAAGGATTCATGGGGCAGGTCTTACCAGGAGACGAGTTGTGCAGCCCAGGCATTCTCACCAACATCCCTGACCAAACCTTTCTCTTTCAGCGGAACCAAAGCCAGAGGTGCACCCATGTCCCTCCTGCTCTCTGGCCTTCTCCAGTCAGAAATTCCTCAGCCGACACATGAAGCGCAGCCACCCCTCTCAGAGTCTCCTGGGAACATCTGCAAGAAAACACCTCCAAGCAGAGGAGCCCTGCCCAGAGGATCAGAATCAGCAGCAGCAACATAGTAGCACACACAGCTGGAATGACAAAGCTGAAGGGCGAGAGGTCAAAGAAAGGTCGAAATGTTTGCATAAAAGGACCAGTCAGAGGAGAATCTCAAGGGCCGTTTTGAAACCCTGCAGGGAACAAATGGGGAGCTCTAGTGAGTGCGAGGAAATAATGCAGGAAGAGCCCAGCACAGGCCAGAGAGTGCATCCAGAGGACACGGAGAAATTATCTGTGGGAGGGGGAACGTCAAGAATTGTAGCACTCGGGCACGGAGGGTGTGGGCAAGGCTTCGACGATGGGTCACATCTCATCACACACCAGAGGACACACCCAGGGGAGAAGCCCCATGTCTGCAGGGAGTGTGGGCGAGGCTTTACATGGAAGTCAGATCTCATCAGACACCAGAGGACACACTCTGGAGAGAAGCCCTATGTTTGCAGGGAGTGTGGGCAAGGCTTTGCACAGAAGTCAACTCTCATCAGACACCAGAGGACACACTCTGGGGAGAAGCCCTATGTTTGCAGGGAGTGTGGGCAAGGCTTTGCACAGAAGTCAACTCTCATCACACACCAGAGGACACACTCTGGGGAGAAGCCCTATGTTTGCAGGGAGTGTGGGCAAGGCTTTGCACAGAAGTCAACTCTCATCACACACCAGAGGACACACTCTGGGGAGAAGCCCTATGTTTGCAGGGAGTGTGGGCGAGGCTTTACATGCCAGTCACATCTCATCACACACCAGAGGACACACTCAGGGAAGAAGTCCCATGTTTGCAGGAAAAGTTGAGTAAGTTGTTAGCATTAAATCGCATCTCAACAGCCAAAGGACAAATTAGCCAACACACACTTTTTACCTCAGCTCTGAGGGGACTTCAGATAAATGTACTGGCCGTTTACTCTCCCCAAGAGTGTCATTTGTAAATAAGTTACATGGCTAAACAAACCCTCCATTTTCATAACAAGAGATGTGATAGACAAATAGCTCCTTAAATGCTATGGAGATGTCAACACCAATCTCCTCCATGGGATTTTGTTTTGTTTTGCCGCCTGTTCTAAATAGTTTTATTTCCATACAAATTTGAAGCTCAAATACCTCATCCCCCTTATCAGTGAAAGCAGATGGTTCTAGGAGGGGCCCAGAGAACCCACACTCTCAGCAACAGAAACTCAGCTCCTGCAAAGGCATAGTCTGGAATTGGTCCAGTTAGGTTACTACCCAGGGAGAGGTATACGGAAGGGGGAGCCCCAAAACATGGAATTTATTTATAAGAAATTGTGGATTTGTCCTTACATATTTAAACTTCAGTCACCTTCTAAGTCTTTTCCATTTGATGCAATACACCTATCAAGATGTTTTTTTCCACTGCTCAAAAGAGTTTTCGAACTTGTTGATTTCAATGCCTTTTAGTGCTTCTGCCATTGTTTTGTTTCACTTCTTCCACATCAGCAAAACATTTCCCTTTGAGGGCTATTTTCATCTGGAGAAACAAAAACATAGTCACTCCAGGCAAGATTGGGTAAATAGGAAAGGTGGGGCATGGGGATCATGAGCATTTTTGGTCAAAAACTGCTGAACATTCAGCATGGTGTGGGCAGGTGCACTTGTCAATCACCCATCATGAAATGGGCAAACGTGTTGGAAGAGTCTTCAAAAATTTCACCGAGGCCAAATGCACCCTCTCACAACACCAGCTGGTGCACTGATACAGGTGTGTGCCTAGAACACTCACCTAGTGGGGGAAGCCTGCATTACAAGGGGCCCACCCTCCAGGAGGTAATTCTGATTTTTTGTCCGTCCCCTCATATGAGACACCAGGGAAGGAAATTTCCTGGATGCCTGGGAAGTGGGGCCTTTTCTCTTAATAGGATCCCCACCTTTCCCCCTTTGCCCCTCTTGGCTCCTAGTCTCCTGATTTCCTCTGCAGCCTCAGAGGTGAACGGCAGGGAGGGACGTGTGCATGTGCATGGACGTGAGCCTGGCTCAGTCTGGGCACCTGGTCTGCCTCGACCTCCCCTTGCTGCCCCGTTAGGGTCAGCACCTCATGGTGCACAGCATACGCACTCCCGACCAGTCCCCTCTGGGTCTGAGTCTCAGCTATGCCCTCTCCAGCTGTGTGACCTAAGACAAGAGTCTCACTTCTCTGTGCCTTTTTCCTACTCTGTACAATGGGAAGGGTAACCCCAGCCTTTCAGTTTGACATTCAAAGTTAAGTCAGTACAGAGGATGGCTGAGATCACAAGTCTCACCGAACAGCTTTTGGTGCCCACATGTTCTGGGTCTTTAGTGCTGGACAAGGGAAGATAAGGACTGGGTGGGGGCCTGAAGCCAAATTCAGAGGCTGAGCAGACACCACTGCTTTCCCCACATAGACTCTGCTGCCCTGGGAAGGAGGCCTGAGGTTGGGGACATGCCTCACTCCAGGTCACCACCCTCCCAATGAGCCTGGGCAGCCTCCTGTCCTCCTTAACACAGGCAGGCGGTACTAAGAGTGACCCGTGGAGCAACACCCTCACCTAGCTCTTGCTGAGAACTGAGTCTGGGGACAGCACCTGCCTGACCTGGGTGCACCTCATCTATGCACTTACCTGTACTTTGGCCCACTGGGGTTTAATACACCACTGACACCATCTCGAAACTCTTATTGTATCTTTAAACTTTTGTTTGTGAAGTCTGATGGGACAATGCACATGCTAAGTGCAGAGCAGACACACACAATGTTGGTCATTCCTGGCCACCCATTTCCAGGTATTGTCCACAATGGCCCAGGAGCACAGAATTCCCATGGACCCAGTGGGTGGGAGTCCAGCGAGATTCAGGGTGAGAACAGGGTAAACATCTACGTCTGTATAAGCGAGGGTGCTGGCAGCTCCTACAGGTCACGCTTTTCTCAGAACCAGGACTGACTTCAATTCAGAGAGATGGCAAAAAGCGAGGACCCCTATTGTACCCCCTCCCGCATGAGGGTGACCTAAGCATGACCCACCCTGTTCCTGCTGGTGGATTCACGAAAGGGGGACACCCACCCCCGTGACCTGGAACAATGACCTTTCTGTTCGCCTCCCACCACAGGCTTGTGAACAGTGTCTCATGTACTATGTGGACTTGCAGTTTTTTTGCCCAGATGGTGCCTTCTAAGGAGGCCCCAAGATGTCTCATAAGCTGCAGTTGGTAATGGAAGGTCGGGATAGTAGCAAATCCAAGCCCTTACCACCAGTCAGCGTGGTAGGGACTGAGCCACCTGGCTTACCGGGCAGGAAGCCTTGTGCTGTGGTCTTTCTCCTCCTGTCCTTTCAGGGAGCTCTCTCCGGGCACCAGATGGACGTACTGATGTTCCCCAGTGGCCACCTCAGTCTCCCGTCTACTTCTCAAAGAATGACTGACGCCCATTCCCAAAAAATGTAGGTCAGGAATGGCGCAGGGCAAACTCGTCTCATTCAAGGAACCACGGTGAGGGGATTTCTACCTGATGGGGGTTTTTCTTTGCAGGTTCTGTGCCTGCATTTTCAGATCAAATCGGGCAAGGACAAAGAAGCCTGGGTTTCCTAGGCATCACTGGCCCGGGTGCCGAGGAGCCTCCTCCCAGTGTTTGTTATAAACCAGGAAAGACGGTGGCTGCAGGTGACGACAACCCTGGATGGAGAGAAGCAATCTGCACTATTGCCAGCGTCTCCTGTATGGCTTCAGGGGGTGTTAGAGCCACGGGTGGCTATCTCACTTCTTAAGTATTTCACATGGCCACTTGTCCTGTGAAGCTATTCATAACACATTTTGAAGTCCCTTTCACCTTCCAGGGACTGCACAGGGGGTTAACAGGGTGGAGGTGGCAGAGCTGGGTGCAGATCCCAGCTGTGCGCTCTGTAGACGCGTTGAGACTCACAGGGCACAACGACTCTGGGGGGCCGGAATCTGAGCTCAGAGTAGGTAGCAGGAGCTGACAACAAATGAACCTGAAAATTCCACAGGAAGGGACATTCAAAGGGGCTGTCCTCTTGTCTTCCCACCTGTCCCTGGCAGCCACCGCTGCTTCCTCCTCTTTCCTTCCCTTTTCTGTCATCATGGTGGCTTTGCCCCCACAGCAACCCCCTGCTCCCCAGCCAGCACCTACTGTCTCCTGATGACCACAGGAGGGGGGGCAGCCACATCAGGTCCTTCATGGACCAACATCCAGAGTCTTGGTTCCAGCCACCAGAATGCACTGTCCCCAGCCAGCTCTTCTCTCTGGCTTGTGCACTCAGCCCCAGCTCCTGACATGAGGCCAGTGTCCAGGCAGGACTCCCCTGATATTGTCAGGTAAAGAGGGGCGAGGGCCTGGGAGCAGTGGGGCCGGTGGAGGGATGAGACCTGGGGATGGCCACATCCCCTCCACTCAGGTCCCTGATAGTTTCAAGTTAACGAGGGACAGTGTTCCCACAACTACAGCCATGTCAGAAGGAGCCCTAAATCTTTCTGAGTAAACAAATAACCATGAAATTGCTACAAAAATTTTGTGCACTATGCTGCTTGTATCACTTCACAGGAAGTGTTATTGTCTGCACAGGGAGTGGACTAAAAACACAGCAGCACGTTGCACTTTAGACTTCTGTGCTAATTTTGTTGTCATGCTAGTTGTTAGCTGTTGGGATATCAATACCCCTCTGAGTTTCCCTGCAGGCACAGGCCAGGATGCAAGTCACAGCAATGGACACACAGAACACCTACAACACAGCCACAAACCGTGCCTCAGCACAGCACGCTCATCACCAGCCAGCACACAGGCATCATCAGTGTGCTCACTTCAGAGCCAGACCCACAGGGCAGGGGGGCAGGAGGGCCCACTGGGTGGTGTGGTCGTCCCAGCCCCTGGGCACAGACACCAGCCAATCAGAACAGACACCTACTGATGAGAACAGACTCCCAAACAGAATATGCACCGACTGATCAGAGCAGACACCTGCTGCAGACAGTGGCACAAAGCACAAGTCTTCCTGGAGGGGGTCCTGCCCTCCTCCCTCCCGTCTGTGCGACTGGGCAACTATGGTACTGGAAGTGCAGGAGCCCCTCGCTACCAGGAGGGCAAAACACAGGCACAGGAAACAGAGTGGAAAGACAGCTGAAGCTGCGAGCCTGGTGCTGCTGCTGGGCTACCTGGCAGCCGGGCCTCCGGGCCTGGTCTGTGTGCCAGAGCCTTAGTGCAGTTGTGCTATTGAACCATCTTGCTAACATTTCCGGGCACGTGGCTGAAGGTGTTTCTGCCTCATAGACTTGAAACCATGCAGGTGAAACACACAGCACATGCTGCTCAGTAACCTGGAATTGACGATTCTTCTTGGTCAGCTAAGGCCCTGGGCAGAGCCCTGAGACCTTGGCTGATCTGGCTGCTGTCTGGACAGGCACCGACCACAGAGAAGCCCACAAGTCACGGTGGCAGGACCCTCATGGGAAGGATGCCTGTGCCCATGTTCAAAGCCACTTTGTGGTTGGAGTCAGAGCCTGACCCCAGAGCAACCACATCCAGACTTTGTCGTGGGCTCTGCCTGCTTCACTTGTCTCCCCATTTGAGTCACTGCCCAGGCCAGAGATGGCTGCGCTTGCCCTGGGACAGAGGGTTGGTAGGTGTGTCCCAGAGAGGTCCAGAGGGTTCCAACAAGTCACCTGGCTGAGGACCATGGGCCTGGGTGACACTGTGGCCCAACACATTGACGCATGAGCCACCAGTGAACTCAGTTCATGGGACAAGTGCTGGCTTCTGCTGCACACGGTCAGGCTGGAGATGGGAGGGTGGCTGTTGCTGTCAGTGAGTGTGAGTCCAGCTGTCACTGCAGAATTTAACTCATCACCTTGGAGGCCATCACCTTGGACCGTAGGTTTGCACAGGGGCACGCTCCGCAGACAGACACACGGTGCTCTGCCCTGGGGATCGGAGGCAGGTTGGGCTCGTCCACCCAGCGCCACCCAGAGGGCAGATGAGGAGCCCCTGAGGCAGCCACCTAGAAGGACCATCCTCTCTGTTAAACGACCGGCTTCTGGGTGGGGTCCTGTGAGGTGTTGGAGGCAAGGCTGACAGGCAGCTCAGCTTCTGCCTCAGTCCTGCCCCCTCCCGCTCCACAAGGAGGCAAAGTTTGGTGATCTCAGACCATCCCCTCCCAGAACTGACATGAGGAGACTTTGCCTGGATTGAGATCTGATCAATACATTCCCAGTTCTGGGACCCCTTTGGTTAGGTGTTCAACACTTAGGTGGGGGAGGGAATCCTGGGAGCAGTTTCACGAGATAATGTGACCTAATTTTGCGGGAAGCAGAGCCATTTCGTTTTGCCACTTGTGGGGGTGTGTTATGGGTCACATCTCTGACTTCCTCCGGTGATTCCTTCCTTAGGGCTTACTCCGCCAGGGCCTGGCCCGGTACCACAGCGTGTCATTTCTCCTTAGGGCAGCCTCCTGCTCCCCTGGGCTCACCCAGGCTGCCCAGGCAGGACTCAGCGGGAGGGGACAGAACTTCGGCTGCTCGGGGGACCACGGGGACCTGGCGAACAAGAGCAACAGCTCAGCTCAGTCTCCTCCCCTGGATCTCAGCCTCGGGAGTGGTTACCGCCCCTTTTCACGGATGCATAAACTGAGGCATCGTCACGTGGCCTGTGGGGTAGGGGCAGTCAGAATCGGACACCCTAACTGACCATTCAGAGGCTTCCATAGAAACCCTGAGTATCCCAGGGAAGGAAAAAATTTACCTTGCTTCTGGGACTCGGTTGGGGGAGCAGGGCGTGTGCACCCCACCTCCAGGCCCTGAACCCGAGGCCCGCCCCGCCCCCCAACCTGCCTCCAGCCCCCAGCCCCGCCCCGAGCCCCGCCCCGCCCCCTCGACTCCACTTCCGCCTGGGAGGAGCCTCCGCGCCCCTGCAGGTCTGTGCGCTCTCTCGCTCCGGGGCCCCCTCGGGAGCGAAGTCCCCCGGGTCCTACTGGTGGCCAAGATGGACCTCCCCCTCCCAAACCCCGGTTTGGACGGACACGTGGATCCGGGTCCTGGGAGGTGACAGAAGCCGGACGGGGCTGGCCGGGGAGGTGCCCCTCTGGCGGTGGCGGGTGTGAGGTGATCTCTGGCATCTCGAGCCATTGCAAGATCCAAATCGGCGGTCATGAGCTCGGGGGCCACCCCGCGGCTGCGCACGCTCCAGCGACATCTGGGGTCCCTGGAGGTAGGGGCTGGGGTTCCCGGCCCTGTCTGCCTGGGGCGGAGGTCCCATGAGCCAGGGGACACAGAGCTGAGTTCTGGGAGAGCCGGTCCGACGCCAGCTCCGACCCGCTGGGTGCCGGAGGTGGCCCGGAGGGGAGGGGACAGGTCAGTGTGACTTATGAACTGTATTTCAGCGTGCCCACACCACAGCCCTCACAGGGTTGATCAGTAACCCTCCCCCCAGGGCAGTTTGGGACTCTGTCCCCCTGGGGCTGTTTACTCTGAGGTATTGCAGTGGGTGTGGACACAAGGCTCACCCTGTCTCCCTCTCTCCTGGCCCAGGGCAGAGGCATGGAGCCAGTCAGCAGCCCTCTGACCACACATGTGCTGGACACGGCCTCGGGGCTCCCAGCCCAGGGCCTCTGCCTCTGGCTGTCCAGGCTTGAGGACCATGGGCAGCAGTGGACTGAGCTGAGGAAAAGGTAGGAGGTCTGGACAGCACAAGGCTGGCCCAAGCTCTGGCCTGGGACAGGAGCAACCCCAGCCCAGGACAGTGCCCCGAGTGCTGCTGGCAGAGCCCGCCCACCCCAGCACCTGCTCACTCCTGTTCCATGGGCTGTGCAGCCCAGCACAGCCAAATAGCGGAGGGGTGGGCACGTGGAGGTCAGAGGAGGACCTGAAAGGGTTTGAGGTCACCAAGCAGCATGCTGGGCACTGCGTTTGTCCTTTCACTCTGACAGCCCCCTGATGACCCCTTTACAGATGGGGAGACTGGGACAGCAAGAGACAAGGGACAGTTCACACCCTACCTGGTGGCGCCCAGCTCCTCACAGGCCTGGCTCGTACCCCGTGTTCCGCTCTGCGGGGGCGGCCCAGCCAGGCTGGTGTGGGCACTCGGCCAGCCCTGTGAGCAGGGAACAGACAGGCGCCCCATCTCAAGGGAGGCAGGCTCTGCTGGAGGTGGAAGTGGGGAGCTGGTCCCTGAGGGTCTCCTCCCTGTTCAGCCCCTCGTAAAAGCTGGATGTCTAGGTCCCATGTGAGGGTCAGCTGTGGTCTTGGAAAGACATGTGAAGTCCCCTGGGGGGCCATGTGGACCCATTCCCCAGCCGCCAACAGTGCTGCTCTGTGACCACAGGACAAACACACCTGAAGGCACAGCTGGGGGCACCGGGAGGCCTGGGCATGACTCCCCTGGGGTGTGATCAATATTGACCCAGATATTGAGTCGATATTGATCACGGGGATGACCCAGAGAGTGAGAAGTCCAGGTTACAGAGCAACATGAATACTGAAATCCACTGTACGTTTCTGTAAGTTTGTAAATGAGCACACCTAAGAGCAGAGGAAATCTGAGAAAGCGCAGACTAAAGCGAGTGATTACTGCTCGTGGGGTGATTGTGGGAGGCTTGCTTCTCCATACTGTGCAGCGGCTGCTCCAGAAGCCCAGGCCCTAGAGCCTGGGAGGGTCAGGCCAGAGGGGCGGCTGAGGCTGCGGGCTGTGGAGGCCCAGCGATCCTGGCAGGGGTGCACCTCTTCCCCTTCTACCCTCTCTAGCTACACCAACCCTGACGGCCGCTGCCCGGGGCTCCTGCTACCAGGCCAGATGAAGGCGGGCACCTACAAGCTGACCTTCGACACCGAGGGCTACTGGAAGCAAAGGGGGCAGGACAGCTTCTACCCTTACGTGGAGGTGAGGGCCAGCGGCTGGCTGGGAGGGTGGAGGCCCTCACCCCCAAGTCCTGCAGTGGCCAGCACCCCTCCCCTGTCTCCCAGGGCGGCGGGGGCAGGGTCGAGGGTGACTCAGCCCCTGTGGACACAAGTGGTGACCGGGCCCCATCCAGCTCACTGGTCCTAACCTTGCTGCCTCCCATTCACCTGGCCCCATCCAGAGTGGGCCCTTTGGGAAAACCTGGCAGGCCCAGGGGTTCCCCCAAGCCGAGTGCTTTCTCTGGAGAGGATTCAGCCTCGCCCACAGCCCTCCCCAGGTTTCCAGTTCACCACTGGGCTCTGGCTGGCCTGGGGCTCCTGGCTCTACCCTGGAACTAGACCCCTCCCACAGTCTGGGCCTCCAGCGTCTCCCTGGGAGTGCCGTGGTCAGGCCCTCAGCTCTCTCCTGGTGCCTCTGGTTCTCAGGTCGTTTTCACCATCACAGACGAGACCCACAAGTTCCACGTCCCCCTGCTGCTGAGCCCCTGGTCCTACACCACCTACCGAGGGAGCTGAGCGCTGCGGCCCCTGCGGCCACCCCCACCCTCCACGGTGGGCTCCGGGCTCCTGCGGGGACCTCTCGGGCCCCACTTCCTGAGGGAGGTTCTGGCCGCACCATGTCACCAGTGTCAGCTGAGACTCACACAACAATAAAGTTGGCGTGGGACCTGAGGGCTGCCGCGGTCACTGGGTAGAGCCCGGCTGGTGCTGGCCAGCCGAGGTGGGAGGGGCAGACGTGGGAGCTCTGGAGCGTCTCTGCCACGGCCGTGCAACAGGACACGCGGCGAACGCGAGAAGCCTTCATTTGCTGACCCGACGAACCCACACACACCTGTGTAAAAGGGGGTGCCGTGCAGGGAGGGGTCCTGGGTGGGGCTACGTTGGGGTGGCCACAAGTCCCGCGGGGCCCTGGCCCAGGCTCTGCCCCATCACAGCTGCTTCCAGGGGCCGGAAGCCCACGTTGTCCAGGGGGACCCCGAAGGCCTGGAGCTTCGCCTCGTAGGTGCGCAGCAGGTCGTTGTGGGCCTGTGGGGACAGGGCGGAGTCGGGGGCGGGGCCACAGGAGGGGCTACACCAAGGCTGACCCTCACTCAGGCCGCCCAGCTCATCATGGAGGGTGGGAGGGGCTGGAAGACCACACAGGGGCCTGGTGGCCGCCCCTGTCCCCGAGGAGCACAGGTCCGGGCAACACAGTTTCCAGCCCCTCCTCTGGAAAAGGGATGTTTTTAAAAGGGTGAATCTCATCGGTCAGCTGTAAGGGTTGGATGAGGCGAGGCCTGAGAAATGCTCCGCGCTGGACGTGACTTCACACCAAAGCTCCAAGGGCACCTCAGCCTCACCCTCACCAGGGAAAGGCCGTCGGGCCTGGAGTCGACAGCAAGTGGTAGAGCCATGGCCGAGCTCCAGAGGGACCAGGGAGGCTGGGCCTGGCTCTCTCCCTTCACCGGGCTGTGGGCTCCCGACAATCAGATGCAACCTGTGGGGACCCTCCCAAGAGCTGTGCAGACCAGCGGGTGGCCCCGATTTTGTGGGTACTAGTGCCAGGGTGCCAGGGCGGCCAAAGGAAGGGTCCAGATGGGCAGGTGAGGCTGGGGAGTGCCAAGGGAAGTCCCAGGCGGCAGGCACTGCCTTCACCTGTGGCTGCACAGCACAGGGCTCCCATGTGACATCCACCCCACAGAAATACGGGCACGTCTGAGTTACTCAGCTGCTCTTAGAGTCTGCAGGCAGCTCTGCGTCTGCATCCGCACGGGCAAAGCCCAGAGCCAGGGGCACTGTGGGAGGGGGGTGTGGTGCAGGTGCACGGCCTAGGCCTTTGGGTTCACGGGGCTCCTGGGGCTCCCAGGACAGATGGTGGGGTCAAGGCACTCACTGCCCTCTCCAACTGCGGGGAGCAGGGAACGGCATGCAGCTTTCAGCAGACGTACGAAGCATCAGATAAGGTTAGACTGGTAGCTGTCCCCTGCTTGGAGGGCTGTGGGACTTAATCGGGGATCAGAGGAGGCCCCTCCCATCACCCCAGAGGCCAAGTCCGATGGAGTAGGGGAGGAGCTGCTGGATGAGACCAGAGGTGCAACAGGCAGACCCTAAGAGGGTCACCTGGGTGGGGGCAGGCCACAGGCCACAGGGATGGTCCTGGGTGGGGACGTGCCCCGAGGGGAGGTGGGCCCCTCGCACCTTGCAGACTCGGGCCAGCTCGTACTGCAGGTCCTTGATGGTGCTGTTCTTCGACTCCAGGACGTCCTGCATAGAGTAGGGCAGGCGCGAGTTGGAGACATGTGTCTGGGCCAAGGCAGAGGCGGCATCTGGGGACTCTTGCTGGGACCCCAGCTGTCTGGGGAACAGCAGCCTGGCACATGGGGCGCTGGCCATGGGGAAAGGTCTCTAGGGAGAAGGGAGGCGGCACCGGCCTCTGGAAGTCAGAGAGGGGCAGGCCTGGCGGGTCCAACCAGGAAAGGCCAGAGCTGACCCACCCCCACCCTGGCCCAAGGGTGCTGCTGTGGGGACCCTTGTGTGCAGGCTTCTTAATCCCCTTGTTACCCACCCCCTCCAGTGATTCACAGCAATAGGCACCCAGCCAGAGATGGGCCCTGGCCCCAGGAGCACAGAGCGGCCGGCCCAGGCAAGGCCCTTCCTGTGCTCCTGAGTGCCCAGCCCCCCAACAGCCTGTCCCCGGTGACGCAGCACCCAGTGAGCACGAATGTGGGCACTCACTCGGCCTCCCCATCCCTTCCTTGGCCGGCCACCTGTCCATCCTGCCCCAGCCTTTCCTGCGGGTCCTGTGGGCTCTCAGAGCCAGTCTGCCCTGCCCAGAACCTTCCACGGTCCCCTGCCAGCCCCAAACCCGGGGGCACGGCTGACAGCTTCAGAGTCCCCCCACCCAGCTGGCAGCACATCAGGCCTCAGGTGCAGGCTGGCTGGGGGGCACGCAGCCTGCAGCTCTCAGCAGAGATGTGGAGGCCTCATGGGCTCACCCTCTGGGCCTCGGGGCAGTGTGAGCAGACAGCGTGCCCGGTCAGCCGAACTGCGTGGGGACACTGCCGGTGCCACTTCCCCAGATAACACACACCTCCCACCGATGCGACCACACCTGCTTCTCGGGGGAAGAACCCGTCTGCCCGCAGCCATCTACCACTGGGACAGGCCTCTGGGTGCAGACGTGGGGGCCGGCGGCACACCGCGTCTGTCTGCCGGTCCCCGTGGCCTGGCAGTGGCAGGTCGCCCAGCGTCCCTGGCAGTACCAACACCCCTCACCCCGCATCAACGTTCTGTGACACCCCCCAAAACCAGGTCCAGCTAACAGAGGGGCAAGGCCCGCTCCGGGTGAGAGTGGGCCCGCTGGGCACTGCCAGGCTTCCACCTGGTGGGTCCCAGGCAGCAGCAACCACTGTCCCGATGCCTCCGCTGACCCTGCTGGCCTGTGGCCTCATCTGTCTTGTCCACGGCTGTGCCCCGAGCCCAGGACAGTCCCGGCACAGAGTAGCCCCATGAATAACTGGGCCCAAGTGAGTGGGTGCTCCAGCCTCTTCCCAGAAGCACCTCCCTCCAGGAAGCCTTCCCCAGCAGCCTCGGCAAAGACCCAGCCCCGGCCCTGCTGCCCACAGCCAGAGCCGCATGCCCTGTGAGCATGCAGGACACTTGGCCACCCCAGGCCAGTGTCTGGGTCTGCCGCCAGAGGCCCACGGACCTCCCACCCAGAAGTGTGAGAGCGGCTGAGCCCCAGGGCCCGGCGGCTCCACTGAACCCGTCCTGAGAAGTGGAACCGGCTGTGGCCTCAGGGGCCCAAAGGCGCTGCAGCGAAGGGAGAATGGGCAATCTCAGACGAGAGAACTGCTGAGCGTGGGGAGCACCCCCAGGGACTGACCAGGGTTTCCCCTGGATAATCAGAGGCTGGGCACACTCAGGTCTCACCATGAGACAAGTGACCCCAGGCCACCTGGGGGGTAGGGGCAGGGGCCCCGTCCGGCCACCCCAGGAGCCCGTGTGGCGCCTACCTCCAGCTTGCGGGACACCAGGGTCAGGGCCGCGGGGTCCAAGTTGGAGGTGGCCAGCACCTCGTTGAGCTGAAGCTCCTTCTTCTCCACGGCCGCGCTGAGGGCCTGCAGCTTGCGCTCCAGGACCAGGTTCCGGAGGCCCGTCTTCTGCTGCACGTCCAGGATGGCCGCAGTGAACTTCCCGTAGAGCTCGTCCCGCTCCCGCTGCACCTGCAGGGACCCTCCCCTGAGCCACTCCTGCCGGGGGCCAGGACACGCCTCTCCCAGGGCCGGCCGTCCCCCAGGCCCACCAGGTGAGCCTGTCATCTGCACTGCCCGGACCCCCGCTCCCTGCAGCTGTCACCCCATGGAAAGCAGGAGGAGGCACCAGCTGGGCCCCCTCTAGGAAGGCATCTCAAGAAGCCAGCAGCACCTGGAAGGGAGCAGGCCACACAGAGGGGTCGGCTGGGCCCAACCCTGGGCTTGGGCAGTGGGCTCAGGTCAGATCTGTCCCTGGTCACACCATGTGAATCCAGGGCATCAAACTTGAGCAAGCAGCGCTTGGGGGTGGGGGCCCCAGATCCCAGACCCCATCCACGTGCTGGCATGGCCCTGGGGCCAAATGCCTGTCAGTCGATGAAAGTGCCTCTCATTTCCTAAGTCTGTTACTTTTAACTGCGCTATAAAAAAAAAAAAACCAAGATTGTAGAATCGTGGAGAGTGAGCAGCCCTAACCCCACCTGCAGGGGCTACCATGTCAACACCGGGTGCCTCCTTCCTCAGGCTGCCGCAGCCCGAGGAAGGCCCCTCTGAGGCAGCTGTGAGGATGCGCGTGGGTCTGCCGAGCTCACAGACACCCCTGCACTCTCAGGCGGCTCGCAGAGGTGGGAATGCTCTGCCTGGGCAGACCCTGCACACTGCTGGGGGGGCTCTCGGACTTGCTGGAAAGCTCAGAAAAGCTCCTTCTCCACAAGGCATGCTAGCAGCTTGAATTCCTGAGACCTGGTGCAGGTGAGAAGTGGCCCCTGGGGCATGTGGGGTGAGACTACCTCCAAGCGCACTCTGGGCAGATTCTCTCGGAAACCTAGATGGAAAGCTGGCCAGGAATTGACTTTCCTGGAGATGCTCACACAGCTGCGCAAAGATGAGCCACGATGCCAGGGACTGGAGTAGGGCTGCTGCGAGAGGGACGGGCTGCAGAAGCACCGGCGCTCGTGGGGCGGGGCCTGCCGGACATCTGGGGGCAGCACAGCAGGCAGACACAGGAAGCACTGGATGTACAGCCGGAAGCCACACCCTCACTGCAGTCACAAAAGGCGTCTGTGACAACCGCAACAGGCTGCAGGGGGACCCTGTCATTTTCCCCTGCAGATGAGGGTGCCGGGACATCTTCACAGCGCACACCTGAGAGTGCGGCACTGGAAACGTGTGTGTGCAGGGACCACACTGCTCGCTGGAGGGGCCAGGCTCCCTCCCTGTGTTTCAGAAGGCGGCCTTCGGGGCAGGTGGGCGAACGTGCCACAGGCCTCTGCCCCGAGACCTGCACACGCAGCTAAGAGCAGGCGGCGGGGCGCCGGGAGCCACTGGCTGCTCACCTGGACAAACCGTTGCTCCAGCACCTCGTGCTCCCACTGCAGGCTCTTGAGGTCCTTCTCAGTGACTTTCAGGCGGGCCTTTGTGCACTGGGGAGAGAGGAGGGTGGGGACGGAGGGCACTCAGGCTGCACCGCAGGCTCCGGGGAGACGACAAGGCCAACAGCAGTCACCAGAAAGAACCAGTTCACAGACACAAGGGCTCAGCCCCTCCAGGGAGGCTGGTGGGCACACCTGTCCCCTAGCACACACACGACTCAAAGTTCCCTCCAGGTCTCCAGTCACAGAAGAGAGACTCGGCCCCTCTCATGCGCTACGGCCCCGCCCAGCATGGGCATCCCCTCTCTTCTGAGCTGGGGAGTGGGGGCGGGGTGGAGGCGGTGGGGAATGCACGGCGCACCACCAGGATCTGCTTGTCCCGCTTGTGGTCGCCCAGCTTCCTCCGCATCTCGTTCATCTCCTCCCGAGCCTTGGTCAGCGGCTCCGCCAGGCGCCGGTTCTGTGAGGACACCTCCTGCATCTCCTTCTCCAGGTGCTCCTCCTTCTTCCGCATGTCCTCCATCTGCTCCTGGGGGCCAGGGCGGGGGCGGCTCAGTGAGGGGGGCGCCGGCTGAGCTCACGACCGAGATATCCTGTGCTGCAGGGCGCAGACTACCCGGACCTGTTTTGTGTGTGCACACACTGTTCTGCACAATCTTAACAGGCTCCGAACCTTCTAGGAATGGAGGTTCCACGGGGTCAGGCTGCGTGCAGGATGCCCAGAAAGGCATTCCCCCTCGTGGAGACTCCATCCCTGCCAGCACCTGGTGACAATGGCGCCACCCATGCCACACCTGCTGGGCTCCCACCAGGGCCCTGAGCCTTCAGCCACCAGAGCACGCACTGGCCTAGTAACCCCTACCCTACGTTAGGGGGACAGCCCGTTTTCAGCCACAGGCACAGATGAGGTTATGCTACCCGGGACTTCCAATCAAGGACAGGCAGGGTAGCATCAGAGCCACTGGGGCGAGGGTCGGGGCGGGGGTCTGCTGGGCCGCACCTTGAGGGAGGTGATGAGGGCCAGGTTGTTGAGGGTGATGTCGTTGTAGTAGTTCTTCATGTCGGTGAAGGCCTCCTCGTGCCGCTGCATCAGCGTGCTGATCTGGCCGTTCTTCCTCTCCTCCACCTCGTGGATCTCGGTCTTCCTCCGCAGGTCCAGCTCGTCCCTGAGCATCTTCATCTTCTTGTCGTACTTGGCCTCGATCTCTGCAAGGCAGAGCACACGCAGCAGCTCGGCGGCGAGCGGCCAGCGGGGCCGAGGCTGCCAGAGAACGGGGCTACGTCATGGAGTGGCTCTCCTGGTGCTCAGGGGCCACACGCCCCACACCACACATCCGCTGTCCTCTCCCCTGGCAGCCGCTGCTGCTCAAGCCCTGCAGGGGGAACCCGGTGGATGAGTGGCCTCACGTCCTAGTGGTCACTGGCCATGACCCGTGCGGCCCCCCAGTCACAGCTCGGAGCGTTGTGGCTAAACCAGACGGACCTCCTCAGGCCAGGAGCCGTGAGGAAGGCTGAACAGCGACCCCTGCCCCTAGTCCCTGGTCTGGGCCACGAGTAGGGATGTGGGCGGGACCATCGCCTCCCCCAAGGACATGGAAGTAACTTGTTCTGGGATTCTGAGTGTCCATCAGCCGTGGCACTGACCACACCCTCTCTCCTGGCAGGGCTGGGCCGCAGTGACCTGGCCCAACAGCCCTGCAGTGATGAGCCCTGGAGGGGGGTCACTTTCTTCCGGGCACTCACCGCGCACTTGCCTCTCGAAGTCGTTGCGCATCCTGGTGATCTCCTCTGTGTGCTTCTGCAGAGGCCGAAACAGGTGTGTTACCAGGCGACAGAGAGAGGCGGCCCCCTAGGGCCAGTCCTGCCCTCACTGTTACAGAGAGCCCAGCCCCGTGGACCTGTCTGTAAGCTCGTGGGACGTGCCCACAGTGACAGGCTTGGTGACAGCCACATGCCACAACTCACTTCCTTTGGCTGCAGTCAGCTCTGAGCTTCAGAAAATGGCAACAGACCTTCCCAGCGCTGAGTGTGCCGACCCCTCACCTGGCTTACCTGCAGGCTAGACAGCTGTGGCCGTGTCTACACACACCTGCAGGCTCCCCAGGCGCCTGCTCAACTACTCTAGCTGTGGCTTGGAGCAACATTAAAAATTACTTCAACAGATGACTATTAAAAGTCTGAATAAGAAGTGTTAATTGTTTTTATAGCAGTATTTTTACACAAAAGGGAACTCTGACCACACAGCTAATGAGGCCTTGGGTAAGTGCACAGTCTCATGTCACTGAACGTGCTGGAAACCAGCCTGATATGTGCCTGTGTCAGGAGAGACCAGACCATTCATGAGGGCCCAAACTCTAGCACCCTCAGACTTTACTGCAAACTCTGAAGTTTTATAGTTTCTTTCCAGGTCCAGTAGAGGCTGGGCTGCCTTCACATGAGACAGGTGTGCTCACAAAGTCTTCTCGACCTGCAGCCAGGAAGAACCTGTGAACGCCAAGGTCAGACACACCCTCCCTCTGCCCAAACCCTCCACAGGCTCCCTGACGCAGCCAGGGTCAGAGCCCAGGCCTCCTGTGGCTTCTCAGGCTAAGCGCAGCTCCAGCCATCACACCGGCCCCTCCCCATCAGCCCCAATTTGTCAGCCCTCCCCAGAGATGAGAACAGGGCCTGGCACCTGGCGGGCCCTCAGCAAACAAATGCCAACCCCACCTGGAGCCCCCACCAGCCTCCCTCAGAGTGGACCAAAAGGTCTCAGAAGTGGGCCAGGTGATCATGAGCCCAGCTTGCAGGACAATCTGCCATGGACAGCTAGGGACTGGTGTGCGGGATACGGTGACGGTCTGTGTTTCCAAATGCACCTGACGTGCATCTGGGGGAGCAGGTGGGTGTCAGGTGTCAGCAGCGCGCACAGAGGAGCCCTGAGTGGGATCTTCCTCGTTTCGATTTGTCGCTCAAGCCTGACACAGGATTCTGTACTTCGCCCCAAAGTGGGCCTGCTTGGCTGCAGGCTTTTTTAAAAAAGTATTTCAATTAACTGCCAAACTGCGGGAGATTTTAAACAGAAGTGTGAACTCCCAGTCACTGTTGACCACTCAGGCATGCGCGCGCTGCCCAGGAGCCGGTGCCGGGACCCACCAGCCGCAGGTTCTTCACCACCACCTCGCTGGCCAGCTCCTGCTCCTTGAGCTCCACCTTCAGCGCCCGCATGTCCTTGCGCAGCGCCCCCTCCTGCGTGCGGTGCTCCTTCTGGGCCAGCTTCATGGCCACGGTGCCCTCCGCCTTCATCTCCGTCAGGTTGTTCTGGTGCTCGTACAGCAGGTGCTTCACCTTCTGCTTGTAGACCTGCAGGCAGGAGAAGCACGGCCTGCACACACATGCTCACCTGCCCCCCTGCTCACCTGCACACCCACGCTCACCTGCTCCCCTGCACACACACGCTCCCCTGCACACACACGTTCACCTGCCCCCCTGCTCACCTGCACACCCACACTCACCTGCTCCCCTGCACACACACGCTCACCTGCCCCCCTGCACACCCACACTCACCTGCCCCCCTGCTCACCTGCACACCATGCTCACCTGCCCCCCTGCTCACCTGCACACCCACACTCACCTGCTCCCCTGCACACCCATGCTCACCTGCTCCCCTGCACACCCACACTCACCTGCCCCCCTGCACACACACGCTCACCTGCTCACCTGCTCCCCTACACACCATGCTCACCTGCATGCATATAATCTTTTGTTTAAAAAATACCTTCAGGTTCCCAATGTAAAGGACCCAAAGGGCTATGACCCCTCCTCAAGCAAGGAGAGAACATGCCTCCCACCCCACCCAGCATCTCAGCAGTGGCCCCAGAGGGACAGGCAGGCTGCCCCACTCACCTTGATCTCCACTTGGTGCCTCTCCTCGGCCTCCTCCATCTCCCGGTCCTTGTTCCGCAGCTCAGCCTTCTTCTCCTCCAGCTGCCTCCGAGTGATCTCCCAGAAGGTGTGGATCTTGTCCCGCTCCAGCTGGAAATAGTTGCGCTCCTCCCGCTCTCGGTCTAGCTCCTCCCGGATACGGGCAATATGCCCCTCCACCTGGGGGCAGAACAGAGCCCTCCAGGGACCCGCCAGGCCCACCCACTTGGGGGGTGCCTGGAGGAGAGAAGCAAGCAAGAGACAGGGAGGGGCCGCTCTCATCTGAAAACACGTGAAAGACGAAAGCGGCAGAGATGGTGCTGGGCAGGCTTCAGGGCAGGACACGCTGAGCAGAGAGCAACAATCTGATCTGGCCACTCATCATACGATTACATATTTTCATCCATTCCTGGGAACTTATACTGAGGTCATTTCTCAAAAGAACATAAGCGCTTTCTCCTTGAAGATATTAGCCACACCATTATTAAAACAGTAACATTAAAAAAGAAATAATCTAAGATGATTTTAAATACAGAAATGGTTGCAAATTAGCCTCAATCAACTAGAAGATTATACACACCAAATATACCTATGAGGGGGGACCCAAAAAAACCTGGAATTATCTTCTGGAGGGTGAACCCCTTGTTCCATAGTCCAGGCTTCCCCCGATAGGCAAGTGTCCCAGGACCCCATCTGGATCAGTGCACCTGCTGGCGTCATTGTGAGAGGCTGCATTCAGCGGCACTGAAGTTTTTCTGAAGACTCTTTCCATGTGTTTATCCATTTCATGATGGGTGATCGATAAGCGTACCTACCCACACTGCGCTGACTGTTCAGCAGGTTTTGACTAAAAACTGCCGTGAGCCCTGTGCCCCACCCTCCCTATTCACCCGAGCTCACCCAGAGTGACTTCTTCTGTTTCCCTGGAAAAAATGTCCTCGAAGGGAAACAATTTGCTGACGTGGAAGAGGTGAAACAAAAAACAGCAGAAGCACTAAAAGGCGAGTTTAAAAACTATGTTGAGCGGTGAAAAAAGTCTCAACAGGTGCACTGCATCGAATGGAGAGGGCTATGAAGGCGACCGAAGTTTAAACACATAAGGACAAACGCACAGTTTTTTATACATAAATTCTGGGTTTTCTTGGGTCCCCTTCATAGATATGAAAATGACATGGCAGCATAAAGACATTCAGAAAATGATGCTGAATGCTGAGTGATCATTCACCTTTAAAGATATATGTTAAGCAAAAAATGTATAGAACCAGTAGACCCTTAACAGTGAAGAGAGGTCTGGTCTGGAGCCAACTGTCCATCTGCAAACAGGGTTAACAAAAATTTTAAAAACCAAACAAATAGAACAGACTCCTGAGATCTCCTGAGTGCACCTGAGCCGCTGGCTGTAGCATGTCCCTATGCTGACAGCCCCTCCCCAGGGGACCTGGGGTGAGGGCCCAGGCGGGGTTGGCCCCTGAGAGGGAAACACAGACCCCAGCCTGTGACCAGGGCCCATGCAGATGACGGCACCTCCACGTCACAGACCTTTAGCGTCACTCAAACAGTCTAAACCAAGCTCCTACCTGCTATGACTGTCTCACGGAATGTGATTTTGCCATCACTCATTACATAGATTTTTTTAATAAACATTCAGATTTCTAGATTCCCTTTAAAAATCAGTAAACAGACAGCCCTGGGCCCGATGCCCACAGGGTAACCACCCAGCGACCTGCCTGCAGCTGCCCTGTCCCTCATGCCTGCCTGGACCCAGGACCCTGGGCGCTTCCGAGGGGTCTGTCCCTGCCCCTGCAGACTGACACCCGGCATGTCAGCGCTGCCTCCACAGGGACCAGAAGTAAACAAGGAGGTAAGAGGCGGCCCAGCTGTTGGGGTGACGTGGTGTGTAGCCCAGTGATCTTCCCAAAACGCAAACTGCACCTTGCCGCCCTCTGCGGAAACTGCTCACAGGTCCCCCACACGTAGCAAGTCCTCACTTAACTCCCTTGGAGGGTCTGCAGCCCCCCGGGAAACGAGGTGTAAGGAAGCCGACCCCACCACTGGCCACTGACAGACAGGAGCTACGTCCCTTGGGCATCTCCCCAACAAAACGCTCCTCCAGGGCCTGACTGAAATAAAACCACTCGTCAGCCCTAAAGCCCTTTGCTCAACACCCCACTTCAGTCCTCGTGACCCTGGCGGTTTGCTTTGTGTTTATTTTCCATCCTACAACTACTTACAGGAAGGCAGGGTGGCTGACAGCAACGCCCGGTGACTCAGAGCCCCAAGGCAGACGGGCCAGCCGCCACCGGAGACTCGGAGACTCGGAGGCCGCTCGGGCGCCAGTGCATCTCATGATTTGCCACATGCTGCCGCTTTCAGGAGCCTTTCAATTAAAGCTGTAATTATACAGCTATGTTCTCTAGCCCTACCTTCATTAACATGGACAAGTGCTTCAAATAATTCCTATGTTTAATGGTAAATAAAATAAACAAGAATACTATATATTCATCCACTATGATAACAGCTCTGTAACCATCAGGTGCACAAAAGGGTAAGATTGAAAGAAAATACAAAAGAATCTACATAGTTTTTATATCAGAAAAAAAACACATCCTTCCCAATTCCTACCACACCATAAAAAAGCTCTTCAATGGCTGGGTTGCATTTTTTTTTAATATGCAGTGTGCTTGAGTGACAGCTTCGGCACCAGTGGGGGCTGTGGAGATGGGGCGGGTGTGCTGGTTGGGACGGAACTGCTGGCACCGACAGGAGGGCAGCACGAGGGGCGCAGCCCTGGCAGGGGTCCAGACAAGGGATGGGACAGCAACACCCACCCGCCCTGCCCCGGGCTGGGCCCAGGGCCCAGGGCCGCTCACCTGCTCCTTGTTCATGTCCTCCGGAGCGAGCCCGTCCACAATCGGGGTACCTCTGCCTTTCCCTTTCTTCTTGGGCGCCTTCGGTTAAAGAAGAGACGCTCGGGTAAGCGGGGCTCTCCTGTAATGGCTCTGCTTTCCGGCTGGCTGGTTCCCTCCGGGGTCCCTGTCTCCCCCCACCCCTCGTCCGCAGCACTCACTCTACCCTAAGGTTCCCCACCCTCTCCCCATGTGTTCTCGCTGACACCTTTGGAGGAGAAATCTTCCTTTTCAGAACATTTTCTCCCTCATAAAGGATGGGCGGGAACTCGACCATGTGCACTTCCTGATACAGGGCAGATCCCCGGCCCACCCGTGTGGACGCGAAACCCACGTGGCCTCGAGAAGAAGAACCCCGGGACGAGTGTCAAGTGCTGCCGTGTGGCGACAGTGTTTGGGAACCACCACAGAGAAGCCTGCAAGAACCTTCCACAAGTGCTGGGAGAGGCGCCTCCGTGGCAACGACCAGACACGCGCGAACGAGGCTTTCTTTCTTCCAAATACAAAACTGCGGAGCACCTGGCCAGGGCGCGGGCGCCAGCGTGGGCGCTGAGTCCGCGGTTCGCTCCGACTACTCTGGCGACACGCCCCCTTTTACCCAGGAGACGCGAGAAGCCTCCAGCCCGCCCCCTGCCCCGCGTGACTGAAGCGGACGCTGTTTCCAAACCCTCGCTGCTCTGAGGGGTCTGTGTCCCTTGCTTGTCTGCGTCTACGGGTCTCCGGGACAACTTGTGATTACAAAAACTTGTGTGGAAATCTTAGAAAGCATAGAGAAGCAAAAAGAAATAAGGAAAAGCATGCCTAAACCCCTCAAGCTAGTGATAGGCAGAAGTATTTTGGCGGCCTTCTCGCAGTTGATATTCTAAGACCCACGCACCGCAATCTTCACTCCTAACCACTAATCCCTGTACGCCACGAAGCCCACCCACCAGAGGCCCCTTTCCGCTCGGCGTCTGGGACTCTCACAGCCAACCGCAGGGCTCCCCACGGAGACAGCGTCCCCACAGCTCCCTGCCTGGAAACTGAGTTACTGCCAACTCCTGAAGGGGGGCGGGGGCAGCTGAGGGCCCCATTACACGCGGACAGACGAGGCCAGGCTCTGCCCGGCGCTGCCGTGGGCACGGGACCTGCCGAGGACCCCCTGAGGTCGAGGGCCCTGCAGCCCACGCAGAGCCTGGAGGTCCTCGGGTGTGCCCTGCACCCCAGGCCCCAGGAAAACCCCAGGCTCTGACTGAGCCTCCCGCTCCGGGAAGGCTCTCTGTTCTGGACACATGGGATCTGGGCCCTGGGAGGCTGAGTGGGCGAGGGCCTACGACCGCCCGGCGAGCACAGGACCCTGGAGCCCAGGGCTCTCAGCTACGAGCGCCGGCGGATGCGGGACTCGCGGCGACCCAGACTCTCCCTCCCCCGTGCACGCTCCCCGCGGAGCACCAAGTTCTCCGTTCCGGGAACCCAGTGCCCCAGGCCCGCCTCAGGGTCTCTGCGCAAGGCCGGCCCCGGTGGTCTGGCCGGCCCCGGTGATCTGGCCGGCCCCGGTGATCTGGCGGGTAGGGGCCTCACCATGGCTGCAGGCGTCTGAGCCAGCCGCGACCCACAGACTAAAGCGCCCGCCCGCCGGAAGCTGTGCCGTCTCCCAGCAACCGCTGGGCGGTCCCGCGCGAAGTATCGAAGATTCTCGCGAGATTACGCCCGCCGCGGCAGGCCCTGACAACAACAGGAGTGAGTCCCCAGCAACGCGCCCAGGGCAGGGGCAGGGTTGCCACGTAGGTCTCGCCCGCAACCGGGCATCATCACACACTTGATCTCCCCGACACCCCGAAACGCGTTTCCTCGTGGGACGGACGTGTACGTCGCCGGCCTCCTCCGCCGTTTCGTCCACTTCTTACCTACAGCACCTGGCGCAGGTGCTCAGCAAAGAAGCCTTCAGTGAAGGAGGGGACGAGGAATTATGCAGTTTAGATTCAAATTTGGGCTGATACTCAGCCCCTGAGACTCACCCCACCTGGCCCACCTTCGAAGATTCCTTCCCTGCCGGTCTGGAGATTCACGAACCTTCAGAAGGAAACAAACGTGAGAAATCTCCAAAGTTTTGAAATCAGCAGGTATCCCCTCCACGAAGGTAACCTGCCCTGCCTGGAGAGGCCGCCTCTGTGGCCCCCTGTTCTCAGGGTGAGGAAACACTAGAAACCACCGCCAGAGGATTCCAGACAGGCTAAAAAACAAAAGTTATCAGGCTCCTACCCTAACCATGTTGCAATTTCAAAAGCGAATTTCCGGCCCCAAACACTACACTATTACCCGTACGTATCGCTCTGTGTCACCCAGAAGGCTAAGCGTTTGTCACAAGCAAGTGCCCATCTTCACCCACTGTTTATGGTCTTTTTCTCTACACTCTCAACTTTAGGATCTTCCTAATTAGTGGTTTTGCAGACATTTCCATCTGCTTGGAGATGAGGGGTCCACCGTCCATCCCCTCCCCCTGGAGAGCTTCACTGGGGACAGAGTGGCAATCATGAAGATGGGTTGGATCAGGCTGCACCACCCAGGGAGAAACATGCCTCATTTGCTCTTGATCTCTGGCCTTTAGATATCCCCCCGGGAGCAGGGATCTGAGAGCCACCCCGATGAGCCAGAGGAGCTTCCTGCTTGCCCAGCCAAGCCCTGACTGTTCTTGCAGCGGAGCAGCCAGTTGAAAGGGCTGCATTGACCCAGCTTGCACAGAGCTGTGATTTATTTATAGCAGTCCCCGAGGCCTTTGTGAGGTCTGGTCCTGCCACTGAGCCGGGGCAACCGAGACCTGCGCCTCTGTGCCAGACACCACTGGCCTGAGAGACATCTCCTCCTCCAGGGCCAGGCCTCCTAGAGGGAGCTTGGCAGGCAAGGCGGTGCAGCTGGGTATCACAACGGGGTGATTATTATTATTTAACACTTAATTTACAGGCCCAATATGCTAGGTGCCTCATGCTGATTGGTTTTTCTTTTAGAAGTCTGGCTCAGAATCCTGAACTAAATAAAAGCATTAACAATAATTCCTTTCAGCAAAAAAGGGCAAGAATTAGCTCAGGATACCCAGACAGGGTGTTCATTTGTCACAAGCCCACAGTGTCATCAGCACGGGCTGCAGAGATGAATAGTGTATGGGCCCCGGACTCCTGACAAGGCCCAAGCAACCTCCTCTTTTCATGTTGATTTCAGTTCTGGTTTTTTGGAAAGAGTCTTTTCTTCACATGCGTGGCTTAAATCACTTACTCAGCATCACATTGTGAAACTTGGAAATCCAGATACATAGCGTCTGAGTTTTTTTTTTGCAAAATCCCAGAATCGATGTTAATAATCAAATCTCTGATATGTCACCTAACATTGGCTCATCCTAAGGCCCACTTACCTGGTCGGTCAGGTAAACTGCCTCAAGCCACTGCATCAGCCAGGTGGATGCCTAGATATTAGGACAGCAGAGTGCTTAGGACTGTACTCTCTTTTAGAGACAGGTAGTGAAGTAATTAGCTGTGAGAGGACATAAAGTGTGTAAGATTTGCTTTGCATTGGAAGGAGGCTTTGAGAGTAAAGAAACAAGACCTGCCATGAACTGACCATCACTGAGTCCGAGCGATGGGTAAATGAAGGTTAATGGTGTTATTCTCTCTACCTTGGTTTGAAAATGTTCTTTAGAAGGACTGAAAGTGAACACTGGCCTCTGGATGCCTTTGACAAGAGGCCCTCAGTATACATTTACCATCCTGCAAACAGGGATAATTATTAAACAATTACTGTTACAGTTACTGTGGCTGCATAACAGGTTATACCCAAAATACAGTGGCTTAACAGGCTCGCATACCTGTTTTGCTCATTAATCTGCAGCTAGACCAGGACTAGGTGGAGACAGCTCACCCTAGCTCCAGATGCCACCCCGCAGAGAGCAGGAGCTCCAGCACCTGGGGCTTCCTCACCCAGGGAGCCTTGGCTCCAGGGGTGCCTTCTCAGAGACAGCTGGGTCCTCCTTATGACCCAGCCTTGGAAGTCACAGAGCACCCCTCTGGCCACATGCTATTGACCAGAGCAGTCACACCCCTTGCCCAGCTTCAAGCAGAAGGAATCAGATGGGAGTGTCTTGCTCAGAGGGGGGTATTCTAGAAGACATGTGGGATGAGAAATAAGGCTCCGGCCATTTTGAGAAAATGCCATGCGCCACCCCAGCAGCCGGTGCCCACCTGCTGCCCACACCACCCACCCTGTGGCTCCCTTACCTCCCTGAGAGGACAAATTCTCCACCTCTTGGGATGGCACAGGGACAGGGCGCATGCGAACCATAGGGGTGAGGCCTAGTGGGTCATGACGTCATTTTAGACAGTTTTAAATAGCAGTTTTTTGTTTTCATTTGTTTTGTAAACTACAGGAAAATGAGAAAAGTATTAGCCTAGCTCGCTGACTGCCAGAGTCTCAAAGGCCTTGGGATCCCTGTGACGGGGGTTAGGCTGCGCAGTGCGGGCTGCATGACCCAGCCGCCTGCCTTTCCTGGAGGGGGGGGGGGGTAGGGGAGCTTGCCTGCAAACATCACGTTCATACCCACCTCCCTCCTCTGCGGGCCTTTTCCACACCCGGCTGGGAACAAACTCTCTCTGAAGTTTTCTCTGGTTTGGTCTGGTTTTGTAAGAATGCAGACGCTGAGCGTGGATTCGGGTCTTCTGGCTTTCACTGCCTGGCTGGGCATTGTGGATCAGGCTGCCTGCCTCTGCTCAGCTTCTTCCCCTGGAAAACGAGGTACCGTCTTCTTAGCGTTGCTGAGAGGGTTGAGATACTGAGCTCAGAGGGCTTGTGTGCGGGGCCGCGCAGCGGCCGCGCTGGGAAGTGGGACTGGAAGAACGGTTCTGTGTGCTCCCCGAGCCCAGACCCTGCCTTCCTTCCCGGGAGCTGGCTTCCTCCCCATCCTCTCGCTCCTACGTCCTTGCCTCCCATCCCCCAGCGACGACCCCTCCGACTTCCCCATTAAACGCTCTCGCCCCTACCTCCACCCCCAGTGTTTCTTCGTAACATTTATTACAACATGCAATTCTATGTTTAAGGGCCCTAGGCTGTAGGCTCCACCTTTGCCTCTCCTTGTGCGAAGCGCGGGCTCGTAGCTGAAGCCCCATAAATATCTGGGGGGTGAGTAAACAGACGGAACTCCGTGCAACTGCTGGAGGAGCGTGCGTACCGGGCTGGAAGGCCGCGGCCAGGTCCGGGTGGGTCTGCAGGGGGCGGGGTCCGCAGGCCCGGGTCCGACAGGGGGCGCGCGTGGGGCAGGCGGCGCCGCACCTGTGCTGCGGGGCGGAGGGAGGATGGGGTGGCCCGGGCCCGGAGCAGCTGCGCGCCCCGCCCCACGAGCTCCTCCCCGCCGCCGCGGCCCCCCGGCTGCTGCCCGATGCGCTGCGCCGGGAGCCGGGAGCCGGGAGCCTGGCCGCGTCGCCGCCGCTGCAGGGCCGCCTGGGCCGGGTGACGCCACCGGCTGCATGGAGCCCCCGGAGGGCGCCAGCCGGGGAGGTGAGTGTGGACCCAACCCCAGGAGCCCCTGGGCTGCGCCTTTCCCGCAGCAGAGCCGCAGCCCCTGGTCCTGGGCCCACGCAGCCACCAGGGCCGCGAACACCATCAGCTGCTCTGGGTCCCGTCTGCGCGAGGCTGGCGGCACCTCCCGGGAGCTGCCGACGCCGGGCGGGGGGCGCACAGACCGCGTCCCCGCCCCCCTCGGCGCTCCCGGAAGCGGTGTCTGTCGTGCTCCTTGGTGGGTGGCCCAGAGTTTCATCCTGAACCCCTCCCAGCCGAGCTGTGGATCCAGGGTTCAGGGGATGGGGCGCGCCGGGGCCGGAGCTGGGGGTCTGGGTGGGCGAGGCGTGGGGGGCGATGCAGCTCTCGGCCGCGCGTCTGCTTTGTTCGCCCCAGCAGCGGCTCTGGGGCACTCGGGTGGGTGGGGGCGCGGCCGGAATCCTGTCAGGCGCCAGACTGAGATGGGTCTCGGAGGTGCACCGCCTGCGGAGTCTGGGGGGATGACCACTAGACTTGGTGGCCTGGGAGGGCAGGTCTACACGGAGTGACCCCTCCTCGCAGCCCGTTTACCGTCCTGCCACAGTGGGAGGAAAACTGTGGGAACCCCTCTCAAGACCTTTCCTAAAGGGTTTCCATCCGCCCAAGAACTAGGATGCAAACGCAGGACTCTTCAGCCCGCCTGACCAGGCCCCAGGAGCATCCCTGGTTTCCTGGGGCTTCCATTCCAGGGAGCCACTCCCTGCCACACAGGGGCCCGCTGAGGGTCCCCCAGCGGCTCTGGTGGCTTCCCCTGGAACCACACTGCTGGCCCGGAGGGGTCCGGGAGCAGTGGGTCCATGCTGTTAGCTGCAGCCAGTTGCCGGGCTGTTCATCCCACTGCGCTGCCCGGGGGCCCTTGTTCTCCTCCCTGCCGGCATCACACTCCCAGGGGCTAGTGGGTGTCGGCTTCCTTTGTTTTGTCGTTTGTGGGAGGGATCCAGCCTTTTCTCACAACTGACAGTCCCAGGACCCGGGCCGGCACCCCCCACCCCCACACAGTTCCCAGTGGCAGCTTGGTGGGGATTTGAAGACAGGGCTTGGAGAGCAAGGGCTGGGGAGAGATGGGCAACGCGCCCCGCCCGTGGAGACAATCCCAGGCCCCCCACAGGGCTGTGCAGGAGCTGAGCGACCCTTCACTTGCAGAATCTCACCTACTGGAACCTCAGACCAAGTCACTCAGGGCATAGACGTGGGCTTACCAGGTGCCTGTTCTGTGCGGGTGCCGCTTCGGCTGGGGCAGCGCTCAGGCCCGCACTGTGGGACCCACAGCCAGCGGCCACGGGATCATAGAGCTCACGTGTGAGGGCTGTGACTGGCGTCCTCCCAGCTCACCGGCTCTTGTAAACTGTGTTTGGAAAGTGTGGCACACACACAAAAGGAACTACAGAGGATCCCCTCCTGCCCACTCACCCAGCAGTAATTGATAGCATATCTAGACTATTTCATCCACAATTATTTTTGAAACTCTCTCTAAAAGGTAAGGGTTTTATGGAGCATAAAATCCCACCTTGGACCTAAACAAATTAACAATGTCCTAACTGTCAAAAGGCTACAGACTCAGAGATGAAACTGTTAAGGGGGGGAGCACATTTCTTGAAGGACCCCAGCT